CTGTAGTAGCTCAGTGTAGGCAGTGTAGGGCTCCACAGAATGGCACAGGCCCTGTCTTTAGGGGCTTTGTAAGGGGCTCTCCACACCTCTGCCTCTGAAGCAACTATTTGTGTAACTGTTGAAAAACTACTTATGCAAAACGTCACTTAAAAGTCACTGGAAATTGCCCTGAGGGTGTATAGTAAATGGGAAAAAAATAAAAATAAAAACATTTCCAAGAAAAAAAAAACCAACAATAACAACAACAAAACCCCCACTGATCTCAGTAGGGACAGGGTGAACCCGTAGCACGGGTCACTGATGACCTCCCAATACCCTATCACTGGAGCTGCATCCTGGGCAGCTGCAACCAGGTAGATGGGGGGGGGCCTGCTCCCCCAGGCCCCAGCCTAGGGCTGTAGTTTCATTCTACTGGGAACCTTATAGCTCCATGTCCTAGAAATGCTGCACTGGATGAGCACAGCTGAAAAACCAGGGCTCTCGCCACCCCCAACCTCTTTCAGGCTCTGGGCTATGCTCCTGAGGTCTCTGTCGCCCTCAGGCTGGCTCCGCTGGAAGCAGGGGTTGCAGACAGGAGTGAAAAGGCTCAGGACCGCCTTCCCAGCCCTCCAGCACTCTCTCCCAGTCCTGTCTCTGTTCCTGGACACTGGAGAGAACTTCTGCTCTAGACAGAGGCAGTCCTGCTCGTTCTACTGGAGGGGGCTGACTTCATTTGGAACAGATCCTAGCAACGTGCATGCTTCAGGGCACCCGTGAACCGTGGCGATGGAATAATGAAGCAATCCAGGGCTAGCAACTCCAAGACACTAGTAGCAACAAGTGGGGCTGTAGCCCCGCCAGAACTCAGAGGATCATGGGAAAGGACAGCTAAGAAGGGGCCCCTAGGGAGTTCATCCATCTCAAGGGGCAGAAACCTGTGCACAGGTCCTGGGCTGCACCCCATAGCACTCAGGAGCTACCCCATAATGGTCTGCGTATTATTACTTGGCAGCCTCTACTTCTATCTCCTATAAAAGCACAGCACAATGAGTCCTTATCATTTTTTCTTCCCAGTACATCTAATAAGTTACCCGAGAGCCAGTGAGGCGGCTCCGCGGGCAAGGGCAGTTGATGATCCCAGGACCCCACATGTTGGAAGAAGAGAACTGATTCCTGCAAGTTGACCTCTGACCTCCACACGCACACACAAAATAACTGACGAGTAACTTTTTAACTGAAGAAGAAAGGGGGGGGGGGGAGACATTCTCCGTGTACTAGCTGGGCTGGGTGATAGGAAGGAGATCCAGAGGAAAACTGGTTGGCTCATGTGACTCACCCTCAGCTGACTTGCACCCACCTGACTTTCCCAGGGTCCGGCAGCTCTGGACCAGAGGTCAAGTTCCTAGGAAGGAAGTTTGGGAGCTCCAAGCAGGGAGGCAACTCACTGGCCTTGCAAATTCTTCCTAGATTAGTGAACACATTTTCTCTCGAGTTCATTGTTAGCTCGGAGAGAGCATTTTCCTTTCCGTGAGGTAGTGGCATTTGTTCACACATGCCCCTAATTGGACTCCCTCCCTTCCGCAGAAAGGACACTGAGTCTTTTCCAGGCCAGATCCGTGCTTAGTCATCTGAACACAATCCCATTCCAAGTCCCTTCATCTTTCCTGGGCTGCACTGTCTTTGAGACGATAGGAAATGACAGCCTCTATTTTTCTTTTCTTGAAAGCACTCAGTTCATGGAGCCAAGGGCGCGCAACAGGCAAAGCATGGTGGATTCATGGGTACCATACAGTCGGAAGTGACCAGCCTTCCTCTCTTTGTTCTGCTGGGTCTAAGTCGTGACAGCGCATGCAGCTCCCTTAAAAGCAGGAAGACAGTATTTCTACCTCCAGATATGTCCTCAATTGGATTTTCTGCTGAAGAGATTTGAAGGCAATGCAATTAGGCTGTGAGCAGCCCTCAAGGAAGGACTGGGACCTTTTTAAAAGGGGCCTCTTCTGGAAAGAGTGTGTCAGGCCCCGATGTGCTTTGCGCAGGTGAGACACTAATTGTGTCTTAAAGCGTTCGCAGGTCCCAGGCAACAGCTCTCTAAGAAAGTCATCAACAGCTCCCCCCCCCCACCCCCAGACAGAATTGAGCTGCAGTTTGGCAATTTCCAGGATATCAAGATTAAGCAAATAGTGACTGGCAATCTTTATTATTACTATTAATTATTAAATAACCCTGCAGGGCAGGTATGGTGGTACTTGCTTCTGTTGGGGTACTTCAGAAGCTAAGGCAGGGGGATTACAGGTTCTGGGAAGCCTGGACTGCAGATGAAATGTTTCTGCCCCATAGATTAGAAGCAGCAGCTATGACGCTTATGGACGCGGTGCCTTGAGATGTCCTTCTCCAATACGACAGCCTCATGGCGCGAGCATGGGACATCCTTTCTTCTTTCTGCTTGAGACACAGCCGTAGCTCACTCCAGTCCCGCTACAACTGCCTTTCCCACCCCTCCCATTCTCCCTGGCCTCTCTGATAAGCCACTCTTCTGTTCCCAGCCTGTCTGAGAGCAACATTTCACAGAGGAACAAGATAGTATAGTATTTGCATACTGGTTTATTGACTAAAACTAGCCAGGGTGGCTTTTCCCAGAGCAGCAGCCATGCGCCCGGGCTACAAAGCCCACTCTCTTCCCTCGCTTACTCAGAAGAGTATAAGTCCTTCTTTTTCTTCACTGTCTCTTTTTCCTTTTTTCAGATACTTGTCAAAGCCTAGCCATGCTTTCTTGGACACTGTGGGCCGCTTTCTATCGAGTTACACCCCAACCCCAGCTTTGGCCATGCGGCCACTCGCTACCTGCATGTTTCACCCTCTGAATTCTCTGTCTTCACCCTCCTGGCCACAGCTGAGAGTCACAAGCTGCCTGCCCTGTGATTTTTTTCTTTTAAACGCCTTAAAATTGTTCTCAAGTTTAAAATAAATCAGTAAATAGTCAGAGGCCAGTGTTTTCGGTCAAACTCACCATCTAGCTCTGGGTCTTTTATGCTGCCAGAACATTCTTTCATCTCCAGAAGATGGTGGGCCTCTCTGGCCTGTCCCCAGGTTCTCGTGGATTTTCACCATCTTCTCAGGGGACACAGGAAGGGAGGAGACAGCAGCAGTGATGGCCCAGAAAATGTTGTCATAGCAGCTGCCACAGGAGACGTCGGGGAGTTACAAGGCTGCAGTGGCTGGGACGGGAAGGGACCTCCTCCCTGAGGCCATGACTCTGGGGGGAACGGTTTCCAGGAAGGCGAGCCTGTAGCATCACCATGCCAGGTGCCACTGCACCAGCTCCGGTGCAGGGTGCTTCTATGGATTTTACGTCTGACCACACCCTCGGTTGCTGAGGCTGGAGAACTATCTGTGACACATGGGCAGGTGTCTCTCTGTGTCTAAGCTAATACAGTAGAATGGCTTTATCCAGTGGAGCTGTTGGTACCACCCAACGCTGCTGTGTAACTACGAGCACTGTGTCATTATTTGGAAACTGGCAGACCAAAGAAAGTATGACTAACGTCAATCCCTTCACAGAGTGAAACCTCTGTGGTCTAAATGCTTCCTTAAGGGTCCCTGCCATCTCTCACAATGGTACAGAGGTGGCGAAAATAGCCATGGCCCCCCAACGCCTGAGCAGTTTTTCATCTTTCCTTTAAAAACATCTCAAGTCTCTGCTCTAAACAAATAACGTTGAGAATTAAAAATCATCGGTGGGCCAGGCGTGATAGCATATGACTGTAACCTGGCTGTCCTCCAAGAACTCAAGAGGCTGAGGCAATCAGATCTTGGATCACAAATTCAAAGCCAACCTGGAATACACAGAGTGATTCTGCCTCAAAAGTAAATTCATTAGCTAATTTATTAGTTATAAAATACCTGGTAGGTTCCTGTATCGAGGTTAAATAAGGATCAGGATGAACAAGTCATCCAACATTCCTGTTTCCTTCCCTATCAGTATAATTAAAGTTTTGCTATGTTTGTTTGTGTGTGTTTGTGTGTGTGTGTGTGTATGTGTGTCTGCATGTAGGGGTGTGTGTGAGTGTGTGTGTGCATGCAGGTGTGTGTGTGTGCATGCAGGTGTGTGTGTGCGCATGCAGGTGTATGTGTGCATGTAGGTGTGTGTGTGTGTGCAGGTGTATATGTGTGTGCATGCAGGTGTGTGTGTATGTGTGTGTGCGTGCGTGCAGGTGTGTGTGTGCATGTAGGTGTGTGTGTTCATGCAGGTGTATATGTGTGTGCATGCAGGTGTGCAGGTGTGTGTGTGTGCATGCAGGTGTGTGTGTGCATGTGTGTGTGTATGTGTGTCTGCATGTAGGGGTGTGTGTGAGTGTGTGAGTGTGTATGTTCATGCAGGTGTGTGTGTGCGTGTGTGTGTGTGCATGCAGGTGTGTGTGTGCGTGTGTGTGTGTGCATGCAGGTGTGTGTGTGCATGCAGGTGTGTGTATACATGCAGGTGTGTGTGTGCATGCAGGTGTGTGTATACATGCAGGTGTATGTGTGCATGCAGGTGTGTGTGTGCATGCAGGTGTGTGTGTGCATGCAGGTGTGTGTGCATGTGTGTATGTGTGTGTGCAGGTGTGTGTGTGTGCATGCAGGTGTGTGTGTGTATGTGTGTGTGTATGTGTGTGTGCATGTGTGTGTGTGTGTGTGCGCGCGTGCGCGCCTGTGGTATATGCCTATCATGGCATATGTAAGGAGATCAGAGGACAGCTTGCAGGAGTTGGTTTTCTCCTTTCAGACTGTAGGTTCTGAGGATTGAACTCAGGTTGTCAGGCTTGGTAGCAGTCACCTTTTGCCCCCGAGCCATCTCACCACTTGCCATCACTATAATTTTTAGTGAATATCTGTGGGTCCCCTGTTCACCCACCGTTGGACCATCTCATGAGTATGTATGAACCAGCGCCTGGTATTGTAAGCGCTGAGGGAACGTGAATCTCAGTTACAGTGCAGAATAATTAACAGACAGACACGAATTCAAACAGGTACAAGACACCAACTCTCCTTCCTCCTGATTTATTCCAGGGTGTGCTGCAAACAGTGTGCGGTGTCCCTTTGACAGCTGTCTGGCCTCACCCATCTCAGACGACACAACGGAGTCTCCTTCACAGAAGGCACACGTGAACCAGAGCCCAGGGAGAGGGAGACAGGGCATCCTGGACCCTTCCCCCTTTAGAAAGTGTGATCTCACCCAGGTGCTTCCGGTTGTCAGTAGAAACGGCCCATGTTCCTCGGAATGGAGGGGTCCAGGCCACTGTTCATCCATATCTCTTGAATGATTTGCTCCCTGCGCTCAATTCTTTCTGCCAGCTCAGCGGCCTCTATGGAGGTGTAGGCTGGATACGAAGTCCTACAAAACCTGGACAGTTCCCCGGGAAAGGCGGAGTCTGAGGACCCCTCCTCCTCCGCCTCCTCCTCGCTGTCCTCCTCAGCCTTGTTGCTTCCTAGCACCAGATGCTCCCTCCCCTGCCTCAGCTCCTGGAAGTCCTTGGTGCAGGACACTCTGAGGACCAGGACACACAGCGTGAGGACCAGGCCGATGCAGACACTGGACACAAACAGCAGGGCGGCTCTCTCCAGGTGGGCTGTGAGAAGAACACACAGGTGAGGGTCTGAAAGGGTTAATTTCGAAGATTTGCCATCCATCATGTCAGAACAGGCATGGCAACAGGACCCTGGGGTCATGTGGAATGGGACCCAGGGCCCTTCCCAAAATGGCACTACCGTCGGGGAGCAAACATTCGGAACGTGACCTTGTGGGGGACATTTCAGATTCAAACTGCAACAAGCAGCCCCTGACAATATGTAAAGCACCGGGCCCAAATGTGACCCAGTCAAACTTTATTTGTAGTTTGGGGCTGGGGGCCATTGATTGAACACTTTTATAAATGGAAGGCAGCAGAGGCCGCGGCCTCTTCAGGAAGGACGGGACCCTGAGCTCCTTCTGGGGTGTCCTTTGGTGTCCCCAGCGTGTCTCAGTACAGCTCAGCTGCTCAGAACCCCCTCTTTTATTTCGGGAAGACAGTGAAGACGGCTGCCGTCCTTCCCCTGGGGTCTAGACTGTCATGTCAAACTCCAGGGCAGCTAAGGCCCCTGACAGCGAGGGGGCTCACAGCTGAGATCTGATGGGAGAGAAGGAACCAGGGCACTTTATCGTCCCGAAAATGATACCTCTCCAGTCAGCTCCCTTCCACAGCCCAAGCTGTCCCTAGAGTGGTCCTACTCATCTGTACCGTATTGCACTTTGTGACCCTACCCCGGCCTGACATCTCTCCGCTCCCTTTAAGGCCCAGATGTCTGAAACAGCCTTTATTCTGGCTGAGGAAGGGACAAATAGTGTCTGTCGTGCTGTCAGTACAGTGTTGAAGAGTCAAAGTATATGAAGGGTTTGGTCTCACAGAGTCACGTGACCTTTGCGACAGTGAGAGGGGCTACTTTTGCCTCCGGGAGTGGTGGCAGACGGCTATCTGGAGACACCTGTAACTAAGTCACTAAACTCGAAAGATGCCAAGACCAGGGCATCGGGCCAGACCTTCCCTCCTGCTTCCCTGCAGGTCGAAGTCTGTCCACCTCTCCCAAGTCACGTTCGCCTCCCGCCATGGTTCAGATGCAGCCTGAGTATCCCTCGTAATTTTATGTGTTGGAGTTGATACCTCATGTGCCGCTTAAAGAGGGAGGAGTCTTAATTCATTTTCTAGCCACTTGTGGGTGGGACAGAGCCAGCTCCAGACAGAAACTCACTCCCATGAAAGTTTCTGTGGAACAAAGGCCACTCACAGCCCCCCCTCCCCTCCTGCCCGAGCAAGGGTGGGGCTGTGACCAGATCTCAGACGCCACCGCAAAACTGATCTGTTACTCTGCTTCCTTATTTATAATTGCCAGTGGTTCAGGCCTTCCTTCTCCCTGTATCTCTGTTTGGATTTCCTACCTACCTATATTCTGTCCTGTCATAGGCCAAAGCAGCTTTATTCATCGGCCAATGAAAGCAACACATATCCATAGCGATTAGAAGGATACCCACGTTATTTCCCCCTTCCTGTCCGACTAAAAAGGAAGGGCTTAAACTTTAACATTTAAAATTGCATATAACAAAACAGTTACCGCTGTCATTTCTAGAGTTTGGAAGTTGCTTGCAATGCACTTCCTGGTTACTTGGGTAATATTATATCCTTCTGGGGTCTTTACTTATTCTTAAGGACTTCTTTTTCCACAATGAAATCTGAACTTTAGGACTCCACACATGTGGGGCTGGTACTCTACCACTGAGCCATACCCCAGCCCCATTTTTTTTATAATAAATGTTTATTATGTATAATATTTATTTATTATGTATACAGTGTTCTGTCTACATGTTTCCCTGCAGGCCAGAAGAGGGCACTAGATCTCATTACAGATGGTTGTGAGCCACCATGTGGTTGCTGGGAATTGAACTCAGGACCTTTGGAAGAGCAAGAGCAGGCAGTGCTCTTAACCACTGAGGCCATCTCTCCACCCACCCCCCAGCCCCATTTTTAAAGAATTTAGATTAATCAGATTGAGGGAAACAATTTTTAGGGCCCATTGCATGCTACCACAAAGGCATCGTCTCCCACCTCCTTCCTCTCCAGGTGGCAGGGCCTGGGTTCTACTCCTGGGATTCAGGGATGCCTCTCGCCTCAGGACCACGAGTTCCCATCAATGTCACTGAGATCCAGTGACCAAGGATGGGGAAGATGTGCTCTTCGGCAGTCCCATGGGAATAAAACTTCCTGTCCCTATGATGTGCCCATCACACAGTCACCGGCTTGTAGGCAGATGGCCCGTTACAGAGGAGCTGGTCTAACCCCTGATGTTATAGCCTGGTCACTTTCCAAAGCCGCTATTGCCTGGGACCTGGCGTAGGCCAGGGCTCTGCCCACTGCCCCAGGCTTTACACAGAAGGCATTTCCTCTCCATTTTCTGGAGCCAGCTGGACCGCTTCAGAGAGGTGACCCCTCTTCTAGCATCTCTTTTGGAGAAAAGAGGCATTCTTTTTGCTGTGGTTGAATAGAATCTTCAGTGTTTTTGTTGATCTTCTAATTTTAGCTCCAGTTCATCACAGGCTGGAGGGAGTGATGCCAGGAGCCTCAGAATCTTTAGGCCCCGTGTGCTCGTTAGATACTGGCCTGGGGCCAGCATGAGCTCCGGTTCAATTTTAGTCACATCCAGATAAGACACCCGAGGCCTCCAGCAAGGGTCCTTCTCTTGTGGGACAGTGGCCAGGGTCCTCCAGGAGGAGGAAGCACGAAGTGTTTGGAGACAGGTCTGACAGCACTTAGGGATGTGACGGGACTTGGTGTCAGAGTTGGAGACCCACCCATGGGACACCATTCACTGTCTTTGATCATCCTCCTGAAGGGATCCTGGAACTGACCTCAGGATGTGTGATGAAATCTCTCCTTCACAAAGCTCTTCTGATGTCCTAGAATTCCTTTCTTAGAACCAACGAGGTTGCCCTTGCTGTGTCCCAGGCCCCAAAGACACCCTTCCCCCAGAGCTCTCAGTAGGTTTGCCTGAGGCTGAACACGAATACACACACCACAATCCCAAACAATAAGGACAGTGACTGAATATTGAGTCACAAAAGGTAGGCCTGTAGGCACCGGCACCGATGAGGTAAACACACAAAGCCAGACACCAATAAGACACTAATCTGGTTTTGGTTGCCTGTCTGCTTGCCCTGCCCACATCTTTCTGACTGCACTCATATGTCAAAGCTACCTGGGGGCCTGATGAGGGAATGTCCCGTGTTTCCTCAGTTTGTGGGGAATCCTCCCTGCTCAAGCTCTTGGCTCCCCAACTTGGCCTCACTATCAAATAATGCCAGGAGCCCGTGTCCAGCCTTTGGATCCTAGCCCCGAAGCAAGGCTTTCCGGACCCACACCGAGCCTTGGCTGCGAATTGCTAAGATGAACATACTAAAATATCTCTCAATAAAATCAAACAACACCCCATCCTGTCCTCATGTTAAAAGGATGGAGAATCATTCAGGGTTGTAGACAGCTAGCGAGATGGCTGGGTAGATACAGGCTTTTGCCACATAAGCCTGACAGTCTGGATTTGATCCCCAAACCTGTGTAAACAGCGGAAGGAGAGACTGATCTGCACAAAGCTGTCCTCTGATATTCCTATGCATGCCATGGCATGCACACACTCACACATACATTGTACATCCATGTGAAAGTATACTGTGTCAAAGGAAGCTGTCAGGTCCCCTGAACTAGAATTATAGGCAATGGTAAATAAACCTCTTGACATGGGTGTTGGGAACTGAACTTGGGTCCTCTACAAGAGCAGCAAATACTCTTAATCACTGAGCCACCTTTTCAGGACCATAGATAAAATTTGTAAATTATCCACGATAAAAGAGTATAAGACAGCCATTCACATGCACTCAAGATTTATTATTTAGCCACTTTTTAACTACTCGCTCTGCCCCAGAACTGTCCCAGACACAGAGATATGACAGAGGTAAACAAAATGTCAGTGTTGCTCTTAAAAGAGCTTAGACAGGCAAACACATCATCCGACGTGTAGCAGGATGAACACAGGAATTGATGGCAGAAAGGATAATTATATAACATTGGGTAAGAAGTCCAGCCCTCCAAACCCTGAAGACAAAGTTCTTTGTAGAAGCTGATTGACAGCCCTGCCCTGCCTAGCGTGAAGCTGAACCCAGACGCTGTCCATGGTGCCCTGGCAACTGGCCCAGCTCCTCTGACCCTCTGCTCCTTTAAGTGTAGAATTCAGGACCAGAGCCGAATCCCTCAGAGTTATTGCTCTGGAATGGTCATGCTCCCCAAATGCATACTGATGCCCTGACCCCTAATGTGACTCTGCAGACAGAACTTTCTGGAGCTAATTAATGTTTGTCGAATTCACCAACGGGTCCTCATCTGATAGGACTGTGAACTCTCTCTTGCCTCTTTTGTGTCTCCCGGCCACCACTAGCAGCCTACACACATACACACACACACACACACACACACACACACACACACACACACACACTCACAGGAGGATGCGGCAAGCAGGTGGCTGTTTACAAGCCACAAGGGGGCTCTTGCTCATGGCCTCCCAGCCTCCCCCCCCCTCAGAACTGTCACAAAATAGAGACTGTCCAGTCTACAGTGTTTTGTTATGATAGCTAAGAAGAGCCAAGCAAGGTGTCTGAGGAAAGATGGGGCCCAGCAGCACAAAGCCCAGCATGGCTGGCTACACCTCGGCCAGCAGCGTCCCCGATCCGCTTTATCAGCATCCTCCACCTGAAGGGACTGTGAAAGTGTGGACATACTTCCAGATCTCCACATTTACAACTTTGGCAGTCATCAGGAGCAGCTAGAATGGACATGGGTAGGTGGTGTGGTGATGGAGTGCGGGACCAGGCTCACCAGCTCATGTGCCCAGATGTTTCTGTAAGCCTTAATTTCCCTTTGAGGATGCTCTACCCCACATAACCCCAGCAGGCCTCAATATCAACATTCACTCACCTGGTTACTGGGAATTTCACAGAGGGTCTCGGAGTTTCTGACCTCTATACAGTTTTGATAACTGTCCCCTAAGACCTATATGTAAACGTTTGGTTCCCATGGTGGCCTTGGGGGTTGCTGTGGACTTTTAAGAGGTGGGGATCTATGGGAAGCCTTTAGGTCATTAGGCCTGTCCATCAAAGGGGATTGTTGGACCCTGCTCTATCCCTTTCACTATCTCTCTACAAGTGCAAAATGGTGATCACTCATGATGCCCACAGCCCAAACCAATGGAGCCACTGGATCCTGAACTTGACCTCCAGAACCATGAACCAAAATATACCTGTTTTTACTTCAGGAGTCCTGAGTCTTGTACTGAGTAATGTGGTGTAAGCAGAATGATAGCCTTCCCTGAACAGGAAGCCAGGGTTGATTCTTGCAGTCAGCATTCCAAGATACAGTCTGCCCTGGGGCATGCAGGAAGGTAGCAAGGGGTGTGCATTCCTCCTCCTCAGAGAGGGCTGCACATGGCCAGGCCTGCTGCGAGCCTTCAGCCCTGGCCAGGTTAACAAGGAAACCTTGGCAACCATAGTGGCCCTCAGGCCTCCTGGGACGGCTGTGTCAGCCCATGGCAGGACCTGTTTTTACTTCTTATGTGATCTGCTTTGTTTTTCTTCCAGTTGTGAGTAGAATTCAATAATCCTAGTTTTTCAGACCTAGGGAATGCATTTCTACTTTTCAAGGGAGAAATTCCTTTGGAGCCAAACCCTCAGCAACTCAACTTTATTCTTGCAGGTCCCTTGCTTTTGTGGCTGCAGCTGTTATTTGAAGCCCAGCCCTGTGCTTCTGGATGTCACAACACCAGCAGGTACAGCTAAAGCCACTTTCCCTTTCATTGCCAGGGTATTTGTCAGTGACGAGGCAGTGAGCAAACCCTCCCACACCCCTCAGAAGCTCCTGTTCATTCACCCACCTCGAATGTAAGCAAACGCAGCCAGAGAGTTGCTGACGATGACGCCATCTTTCCGTACAACCCTCGATCCACTTGGGTCGAATTTTATACCTGCAACATGCAAAGGCCATTGGTCAGAGCAATACAGGGTGTGCCTATCCTGAAAACCCTGTTGACATTCACCGGGGTCTGCCACGAGAGTTAAAAGTCACAGACATCAAACCACCGAGCTCCTGACTAAACTGGAAAGCTCAGAGCACTTAGTGTGGAGGCCTCAATGTGACATGCCCCCATGAGCTCAAGGGCGGGAAGACTTGGTCCCTGGCTGGCAGTGCTGTTTGGGAGGCTGTGGAACCTTTAGAGGTGGGTCTATCCTCACCAGGGGAAGCAGGCCACAGAGGTGAGCCTTGAGGTTTGTAACCTGGACCCCGCTTCCAATTGTCCTCTGGTTCTTGATGGTCTCACTACCCTGCCACCATGATGGACCACATCCTTTCCTAAACCATGAGCCAGCGCGAAGCCCTCCTTTCTTAGGATGCCTTTCTCGGGTGTTTTACTTGAGTAACAAGAAAAGCAGCTTACACAGAAGCCATCTTTGAAAATGTCAAATGGTAAAAGGCATCCAAAACATTTCTAAGTATCAATTCCAACTTCAGGTGCAGCTCACGTACCCCGCACTACCCCAGGCCAAAGGCGACGGCATCCGTCGTACTTTTCAGAGGCCAAGTAAAGGACATCTAATCTCACCCTGGAACAGCTGTCTGTTCTGTGGACCAGAGATAGGACAACCCTTGGGTTAGGGAGGGAAGTGTGAGATGGCTGTTTGTCCCTGTGTTTGTGGCTGACCTGCTTTTGGATGGGAGGGAACTGCCTGGATGGGCAAGTGCTGATGGGCTCGTGTTGGAGCTCAGGGAATCCTGGGAATATCCCATGGGGCAGATGCCTCTAAGACAGATGCAACTCTTGAGGCTGTCTGTCAGGATCAGGTGGGAGCCTGTGTCCTGGTGTTTTGTACAGCAGGAGGCACACCCAGAAGGAAGCAAACCACAGAGCCAGGCCTCTGTGGCAGAGAGGTCCACGAATTCAACCACAGACAGAGAAAAAAGACACCCAGAAGAAATGTGAGTGTGCACAGATTTCTTTCTTTCTTTTTTTCATTACTTCTTAAACAATACAGCACGGCATGGCATTGACATTGTGAAAAGGATTATAAGCCATCTACAGATTAAAGCCCGCAGGAGAGCTGTGTGGGCTCTGTGCGAATACCGGGCTGTTATATTTAAGGGACCTGCTGATTTGAGCATGTATGGAAGGTTCTAGAATCAATCCCGAAGATACAGATAGACCCTTATACTTTACTTTCATAACTGGGGGCAGACAAAATAAGTAAAATAAAATAGCACAAGGCAAAACCCGTGCCACCCAAAGTTAGTATCATGTGTGTCCTATGGTACTGCCTCCGCTTCCATCAGGAACTCGACGGGCTAAACATGTTCTGTGTCATTACAAAAACCAGACGAGTTCACGCCCAGCCTGGTCTAGAGAGCGGGTTCCGGGACAAGCATGGCCACACAGAGAAACCCTGTCTCAAAAAGCCAAAACCAACCAAACAAAACTCCAGGCTGACAGGGATGGTTCGTTGGGTATCTGCTGTTAATCCTGATGGCGTGAGTTCACCCTCCAGTTCTCAGAGTGGAGGGAGAGATCTGACTCCTGTGAGTTGTCCTCTGGTGTGTATACTCACATGCGTCCATACTCACATACATACACACACATATATGTTAGGAAATACAATCAAAATATCTCTGTCCCTATTTGTATAAGTCAGGTGGCAGCAGAGGGAGAATGTGACCTTTAAGGGCTGGCAAGGTCAGCTGGCTCCGGCCCCCAGCTTTGCAACGAGCTCCTTCTATCGCCAAGAACTCAAGTTGTTTCTGAGATCTACTGTTCTAAGTGATTTTATTATTATTATCATTATTATTTTCTTTCAGAAAGAAAAAAGAGGAATGGAAGAGAATAGGGGTAAACTTATTCTACTTGTGATTTTAATTCTTTGTGGAAGCCAAACACTGGCTGCTGTGTGTGAGCAGCAGCCACGCTCTGTGAGCGGCCGATAGCTCGGGCCTTCCCCTCCAGCTCTGTGTGTGTGTGTGCCTGACTGTCCTCATGGGCTGTTTAACCTCACTTAAAAGGAAATTCCGGGAGTAAGTCATAAAAATTACCATAGTCGTCATCTTTCGTCAGAGAAGGGTTCAAATTAGCGATGGCTGGATCTACCGCTGTGAGTATGTTCTTGGGAACTAAAAACCAAAAAGAAGCATTTTAAATGCATAGTATATTAAAAGACACTTTTGCACTTGATATATATTCAAGGAACAACGCAGATAAAGATTTGCAAAACACTTTTCAGGTCATTTACTGCCTGTCTCACACTGACACAGATGGTGCATACAAGATCATCAGATGCCCAAGACATAAGGTGAGACCTTAGGCATACATTTGCAGTGTTTTTCCAAGGAGCTGGCATTATAGAGACAGCCCAGGAGTTAACAATGCATCTGCTGTTGCAGCACCACGGCGGATGGCTTACCACTGCCTGTAAGTGCAGCCGGGGACCCACCTCCCTCTCCTGGTCTCTGCAGGCGCCCACATGCACAGACCTCTGCACAAACACACACACATATATTTACTATAAAACAAATACTCTCTTTGAAAGGATCCTGGAGACAGGGAAGCTGAGGTAGCATCGCTTCAAGTTTGCAGCTAGCTTGGGCTGCACAGCAAGACCCCATCTCAAACAAAACAAACGAGGAAAATAAATAAACTACAGGAGGCTCATCGAATGGAAAATGTTAGTAATAAAAAAGGATACACCAGAATGAATCTTAAAAACAGCATGCTCCGTGGGAGAAGCCAGTCCCCAGAACCCATCTATTGCGTAATTCTGTTTCTATGAACCGCCTAGAAAGATAAATCTGGGACAGAAGTTGACTAGTGGTTCCTTAAGGTGGACAGGGTGCAGAGCGTGGGAAACTTCGGGAGGGGGTCATGAAATGTGGGGATGGCTGAAGTCCGCCGAGATGCAGTGGGTGGAATGCCTCAGACAGCTGTTGAGGGGGACCAGAACAAGCATATCAGATTCAGGAAAGCAAACTGACTAGTCAGAACCCCACCCCACCCCCTCCCGCTCCTGCTCTGCCTCCACTCTGAGTTATCTCCTCACCTCACCAGAAACCTGAGGAGCCTAGCAACCTGGGGTGGCATGGTTCACTAGACATAAGAAGGGATGGTTCCTGGGAGAAAGATCAGACGTTCAAGGTCATCCTTGGCTATGTAGGGGGGTTAGGAAAAGCCTGGGCTATGAGAGAGAGAGAGAACAGAGAGAAGAGAGAGAGGAGAGAGAGAAAGCGAGAGAGAGAGAGAGAGAGGAAGCAAGAGAGAGAGAGAGAGGAGGGAGAGAGAGGAGAGAGAGGAGTTATAAAGGTGAACACGCTGCTGCCAACTCTGGGAGAAGGGAGGGGGCGCCAAGTGTTCTAGCTGCAGAAAATTGCTTATTTGCATTTCTCCCTCAGCCCAGATGCTATCTGGGAGAAGTGGCATCAGGGAACAGAAGAAAAGCCAACACAAACCAGGCGAGAGCCGCAGCATGGCTCTCACAGACACCCCGTAAGTCATCTCCAGCTACGAGAAGACCCCATTCCCTCCTCTGGGTGCTTAACTAAATTCTTCTAGAGACATCCCAGGACCAACAAGCAGACAACAGCCCTACGCTGTTACCCTCCCAGTCCTGGAGGCCCTGGATGAGGGCAGCTCTCCGGAGAGGCACAGCGGAGAAGCTCTCGGCCGGCTATAGGACACAGCACTGACTCCAGGACAAGTATTTTTTAGTCCACTAAGGTCTTGCTCATCTCTGGGCCCCAAGAACACTCTCTCCCTGATTCCCTGGAAGCAGTAAAACCCTGGATGTGTTGTCTTTCCCTGCCAGAAGTGGCATTTCTTTCTCAGGTCTGTCTCTGGGCTCAGTGATGAGACAACGCTCCAGGCTTCTGTGTGAATGGTGGAGGCTGCATAGATTCAGAACTGTAGAGAGAAGCTCGGAGGGGAAGGGCATTCTGGGATGAGCTTTGTCAACAACCCAACAGATCACGCAGCTGTGAAACATAGGTCACCATAGGAAGCCTGCCTGTGTAGTATGTGACCGTGGTACATGCCTGTCACTCTGGCACCCAGGAGGCACAGGATTTAAAGTTCCCAGCCACCTCTAACTGTGTAGTAACTTCAGAGGCACCCAACTACATGAGACCATGTTTTTAAAGAGGCTGTCCACGCTGCTTCAGAATGCATTATAGCGATGACAATGCTCTTAAACTGTCCATGGTGATGGTTGCTGAATTCCATGGATATCCTAAAAACCATAGACTGTATGTTTAACAGGCACTCTGCAATTATATCTCAATAAAGCTGTTTCGATAACCAAAGGCTAATGAACGGTGCCCTTTGGAGGAGGCGTCAAGTTCTTCATTGTTTGGCTTCCCGGTTTCCCTTCACCTCCGTGCTCATTTCAGAACAAGCAGTGTGTCAAGATTGTGGACCGGACCACCACAGCCCCCTGGAAACAGCTACAGACGTGCTTGTAAGTAACTTCCTGAAGACAGGATCCAAGCAGAGCGGGGACTCCACTTCCTTCTAAAGACCCCAGGGGCCGTTGTGATACACGGCAGCCCGTGCGGCCCTGCATCCATGCTAAGGGCTAGTCATTCAGAGGCTCCCAACGGTACCGGAAGCCTCAAGAGGAGCCAGATGATACTTGTGTGGACTCACACGACACCAGTGCATTCCAGGGCTCCCTGAGAACCAAGACAGAAACCGTTCGTTCTTGATGGCCTCAACGTTGACCCTGCTTACTTGTTCTATCCCTGTCTGCCCCGTCCTCTGCCGGTCTGATTACCTGACATGCTCCCAAAACAATTTTTCACCAAAGCAAACCCTATTGCTTATCTGATGTGAATGCCATGAACAAAGGTAGCCGAGAGAAAAGGTCTGGAGGGTGTGAGGTGACTTAGCAGTAGGCAGCTGAGCACCCTTAGTGGCAAGTGCCTTTGTTAGGGACTCCAAAAATGTTCTGGGTAAGAAATGTTGCACCCGACCAAAAGTATCCCTGTCTGTCATTATCATCATTGTTGTTTTGAGATAGGGACTTCTATGTAGCCCAGGCCAGCCCTTAAATTCCCAGCATTCCCTCTGCCTCAGCCTCCTGAAAGCCGGGGTTGTAGGCGAGCCCTATCGTGTCCACGTCTCCCGTGTGCCACCTTTACACCACGAACTCCAGGGGAGTCTTCGTCCACCATTTTCACCTTTCAAATGTCTGAGCTAAACCTAGGAAAGTCCCAACAGTCTCTCCTGCGTGTGCTATGAACTCAAACTGAGCATGCTCAGCACTGTAGACCGCCCCCAAGGTGCTTCCCAAGCTGCGCCACGGGCAATAAACCTCTCTCCATTCTTCCATCTTTTGGTTGTGCTCATTGGCCATGCACCACCTACTATGTGCAAGGCCATGCACTGCCTACCTACTATGTGCAGTTCAAGTGTCACACACACTCCTGTTTGCACACGGCTGCCGAGGCCCTAACAGGCATGCGTTCACAAGCCTACTGAGGGTCGAGTTCGTTCTTACCACACGCATAGGCAACAGTGAGGTATTTTTTCACTCCTGGCAGACAGGGGCTTCCAAAGTGGTAATTATCGACGAGGACCTTACATCTCTGCTTCCCGTAGCACCTCCTGGACAGGACTTGCGACGCCGTGTGAGACAGGCAGTCTGGAAGGGGAGAGGCAGTGAGAGCTGTCACCATGCAGCTTAAAGAGCTTGCTGTGCATCATACATGCGCCGAGCGGAGCGGAGCTCCCCCCCCCCCCCGCACACTGCTGATCGGTCTCATTGGATCACCCAAGTGCCCCCCATCAGCTTGGGCACCAGCCCCCTGGAAGCCCTGAGCTTGGCCTAAGGACCTGCTATCACGACCCTGAAATTCTGACATAGTCTTTGTCAAAGGCCTGGATGTCTGCCTTGCCCGTAATTGGCTGCGGATGCAGAGCACTGGATGAGGCTATTTACCTCATGACTACTTGGCTTTGAAATATTTGCCTTGTTTAAGGCTCTTTTCTTCATGGCCACATGCTCCATGTGCAAACATGTCTCTCTTGTTCATCATCTCACTCCCACTATCCAGCCCACCGTAGGACTCAGGTAAGCATCTGATGGATGGAAGAATCCTGCTCTTCGGGGACATCTGGATTGTCCCCAGCACCCACATGGAACAGCTCACAGCTGCTTGTAAGTCCAGGGGGATCTGGTGTGCTCTTCTGGCCTCCAAGAGTAAACCATGCAAGCATGGGGAGGGGAGGCAGAGGGTTCCTGGTGCTCACTGGCCAACCAGCCTGGCCCACCTAGTGAGCTCCAGGCCAGGGAGAGACCCTGTCTCACCGCATGTGAGGAACAACGCCAAGGTTGACCTCTGACCCATGGGGCATTTAGACGCATGCTCCCCCCCACTCCCCCACTTTCTAACACAATAAGCAATGTCATGCTTAGCACTAGATATGTGTATGCAAATATGGGACTTTCCGTGGGAATTCTTGTCATGGAGTGTTCTGTCAAAGAGTGCCAGAACGTGAACTCGGTGACACACTGAGAAGCTGTTACTTAGGGAAATGGTGCCATTGTGTACTGCTGATGGAAATGCATGCTCCAAAAAAGCTTATGCTGTCTTACAGCTATGAGGAAATAGATGCCTGGCCATTTTGGGGAGAGGGAGTTGTTATTAGTGTTTTTTTGTTTTGTTTTTTTGAGCCAGAGTCTCATGCTGCCCAGGTTGTCATCAAACTCAATATGCAGCTGAGGATGGCTTTGAGCTTCTGTTCCTCCATCCCGCCCCCCCCCAGTACTGTATTATAGACATGCATCACCACACCCAGTTTGTGCAATGCTAGGCAAGTACTTCCCCCACTGAGCTACCTCCTCAGTCCAGCCTGAGCACGGTCTGAAAGAAAATACCCTTCCAGAGCTAAGACGTGAGGGCACCTCTGATACACTCCAAGAATGTCCTTGGTGAAGGCGCTTACCTTGCCTGAAAGGTTTTGTCTTATTACCGGAGAGTTTATCTTAGCCATGACTTCAGGAAGCGGCCAAGGCAATTCAGGGCTGAGCTCCGAACCACTCCCAGGATTTTGTTGTTTCCCTAGAGGTGGTTATTTCCCGCCCACACAGGTTTTGCTTGCACCATCTCTTGCTGCCAAGCTCCCTCCTCCCCAATACATGTGATAACAAGATACTCGGCCATTTCAATTCTTACTTTTTGGCAATTGTTTGACACTATGACTGAAGTTAATCACTCTTGCAAACCAGTGTTTATTTAGATAATTGGGCTGGCTGCTCTTAAGTGGCCCTGTCTTGGCAGTGGAGAGTTCCTGGCACCTTGATCTTGGCTGAAATGCCCAGGCCTGCCCTCACTTGGCCTTGGGACAGCCTCGGCCCAGCCTTTGAGGCCCATTGTGTGGTTTCTCATTCTCTAATAAAGGAAATAGCAAAATCCCTGGAGCCCACCCAGAAAATGTGACCCTAGCCGGAAATGACACATAGCCGTGGTGGAGGCACACCCCGGCGCCCAGTTCTCGGGGAAGGCTCCCTCCTGGCTCAAGCGGGGCGGGTCACTCTGACTGGTGTGCACAGGGCCAGCGATGGCCCCTTCATCTTCCCCTCTCCCAGGTGAACTTTAGCGGTAACAGTCCTGGCTCAGTTCCAGATCTTTCGGAAATGCCACCTCCAGTACAAAGAACACAGACCTCATTTTGTTTGACCCCATTGGATTGTAAGATGTCACTTTTTGTGACACCTTACACCTGTAAGGTGTATCATCTGCTTTGATATTCGTTTGCTAGGGCAGCAGCAACACATCCCAGACTCACGCCTGGAAGCTGTTTCTGGACAATTCTGGAAGTTCAAGACTGAGGTGTCAGCAAGGCTGACTTCCCTGGAGCCTCTCTGGCCAACTTCACGTCTTCACGTGGCTTGCACACTGCACATGCCGGTGTCCTGGCTCCCTCTTATTATAAAGGCACAGATCTAATCCAGCCAGGGCCCACTCGGATGACCCCACATTAACTTAATCTCCCCTTTAAGGGTCCTCTCCCTAAGTAAAGGCAGATTCTCAGGTCCTGGCAATAAGGATCTCAGTGTGTGCATTTTAGTGGAGCATCAGAAGGGATTCAAGATGGTTTGCAGCCATAGGTATCTCCGAGGATTTATGTCCATGAATACCCTCTTCCCACACGCACCAGGCCAGATCTATGCAGTATGGTGGAGGAGAGATGGCTGGCTTCTTATTCTTTTACACCCCATTCTCAGCAGAAGCCAGCTGCCAGTGCGTGAAGATACCCAGGCCTGTGAGGGGAGAAGCTTAAGCCTATTACAAAAAGCAGCGCCAACTTCCCACCGCATCAGCTGGTCACCTTGGAAGCTCAGTCCTCCACCCAGAGCTGTCCCCGGGAGACCTCTCAACACCCAAGGTAAGAGCCTCTGCTCTCAGCTGCCCCTGAATTCCTGTCCTGCAGAAGCCGCAAGATGATAGTGTTTTATCAGAGCCCACTGAAATGTGGAGTGTTGTATTACGTAGCAATAGGAAGTGATCACGCAGGTTGATATTTAGGAGTGTGTGTCTGGGGTGGTGGTTCTGGGACAGGGTAGTGGGCAAGAATTAGGGGGATCTTGAAGAGAATGTTGGGGAAAATTCAGGAATTTTGATGGAAATCCCAGCATCGAGTAACCTTACTGTCCCAGCTGAACACTGAGTGAGTACAGCAGGCTAGATGTTCCCTCAGGTGCCCGCCTGCCCCAGCCATTGATCTGGCTACTAAGCTGTCTGGTATCGTTCTGTATGCTGTGCCATACGAACACAGCTTTCCGCCTGCAGGAAACATAGATGGTTGTCAGAAGTCCTGCCCTAGTTGAGGCTGTGACGGGCAACAAACACTGATGATGTCGGTGCCTGCCTTCCAGAGCTTGGCCTGGCCTGTTGCCTGTCAGATGGGACCGAAGGCTACTGTCTTCTCTGTGGTCCCAGAACACAGCTGCAGTAGAAGCCCTCTCAACGCCTGTGCTCAGTGAGTCCCATCGATAGCCGTGCTCTGGGGATGCTTACGACAGCAGGGGCATGACTCCTGTGACTTCAAGGGTGGCACCCGTGTGTAGTGAAATCTACCATGGGGGAGGCCTCTCCTAGTCACTCAGTCAGCTCCTCTTGAAACAATTCTACACAGGACACAGACAGATGAGAAGTGGCCAGCACTAATGGAACTCGGGGACTATTAGTAACAATATTTTTAAAAGGAAGCATCAAGTTGGGAGGGAGATAGGACAGGAGGTAGTCGGGGTTGGGGAAGACCAAAATGCACTGTATGCATGTGTGAAAGTTTCAAATAATAAATGAAAGGCCATTTAAAGAAACCAGTAGCCAGCTATATGTAGCAAACCCAAGTTATGAGTTCAGAAATATTAGCGTGTGGGTTATTCTCTGCTCTGCTAGGAACTTGAATAAAATTATGAACTCAGTCAATCAATCAATCAACCAGTCAATACTCCAGCAGGGAGGGAAGGGGGAGAAAGGCAAAGCGACAATGTGTGCTCGTACAAATCGTGGGGACATATTCACAATCATCCATCATCCAACGATGATTAGAGCATTATTACAGGACTATTTACAGGGCTTAGGTTGGAAACCTTTAGGAAAATCCAACACCGGAGAGCCAAGCTTGCAGAGCAACCCAAAATTGTACCTCGTTATTTATATATGCAGATTGGTACATACGTGTTTATGTGTATATTGATAAGTTTATATACATAAGTCAGGAAGCGCTCTGATGATATAAACAAACACCACCCTCTTTTAATATAAAACATGTGGGAATCTATCCCAAAGAACTAGCCTGTAGAAAACTACCAGCACACTGGTTACAAAATGTATTCTGAAACTCAGAAACAACAAAACTCTCCCAGTAGGGAATCCTCCAAGCAAGATGATAGGTGGTATTGGGGTCTTCTGGCCACACAGTAAAAGACCAATTCTACAAAGTTCAAGGAAAAGAGGCCAAAGGACAAGTACAAAATTTATTCTTAGATGTGAGGTCTTAGAAGAAATCCAGAAAATAAATATCTCGCCAGTTGATGGGTAAAATTTGTAGCTGAATCTTATTATTACTGTTTGATGTTGTTCTTGTGTTTATGCCAAAGAGAATGATGATGCTTTAGAAACTTTGAGAAATACCTTCCTCCCAGCCTTTGAATGCTGAAACCATGCTGAGCTGCTGTGGGAGCCAGAATGGTCTTTGGTCACTATGTGCCTGCCGGGTCATCCCACCTCCGCCAAGTCACGGGCTTCCAGAGAGGCGCGCTGAATCCAAAACACGTGGACCCGCCAGACTTCAGCACATATGCATAGGAAAATGCACAGTTCAATCCTGAAAGCCAGATGCTCTGGGACGCCAACCACAGGGCTCCCTTCGCGGGCCCCTGATGAGAACCAGCCCTCCGTTCTCATGTGCTCATCCATCTGAGACCATGCCAGGGCTAGGGTGAAGGCCAAATGTGCCTTTTCCTTTCTTCAAAGCCATGTGCCTGGGCCACAGGAATGGCTGGAACAGTGAACGGAGATTACACACATACACACTGGCAGCCTGTGGCCCGGATGTGGCCTGCAGGCATGTTTTCTTTGGCTTGTTCCGTGTTTTAAAAGTTGGAACATTTTACTTGGGGGAAAAAAAAAA